CTGATCTTCCAGATGGTCCTCTTATTTACCAAATAGGGTTCCTAAATTAGTAAAGATAGAACTCAAACATTCTCTGAGCTATCTGTAACGTGTGTATTTTTTAAGTGAAATAAAGTCTGTGTAGTATGTTACAGGGAAAAATGAATTTGATCCAACTGTATTTTCATTTCCTTACACCAATTCGATCTAATCAGCAATTTTTGTTTCTCAGGCTATAGTCAATACAAATTCACCTACTGTGGACTCGAATAAAAAATCTGTATGATTTTTTCCCTGTAGTGAGTTTGTGGTCAAAGACAATCTAAAGAGTCTAACACTGTTAACACATTTTTTTTTTCTGAATTCACCTTTGTTCTCTAAGACCTCTTTTTCATGCCCAATATCAACTAGCATATAGTATGGGAATTGCCTTTTCTTACATATTTAGTTCGATTTGGCTGTCATAAATACAGGAATGATGCTTTAGAAATAATACTTGACTTATGTTTCTTACATTAAAATGTGTTGAAGAGGACTTTTGTGGATTTCATAATAATTTATCCCATTTTGCTATTGCTGCCCTTATTCATTGCTACCCTTGGATTATACATAAGCTTACTCTATTGCTTACTTGCTTACTTTATTTTTATTGTTCACCAATTTACTTAGGATATTTTTTTAACGTCACAAACTGTATTTCAGAACAGAAAGCCCATTGCCAGTTCTGGATGTTGAGACCTGACTGGACTCTTAGGGCTACTCTCTTATGCCGCACACCTCTGTGTGTCTATTCAAAGAATGACTCATAGGAGCAGTCTGGAAGCTGGTGAGATCCCTTGGTTTGGAAAATGATGAAATATTCCACCCTGACTCATTTAGGTCGTAATAAGGTTCTTGTTTTCCATGTAATTGGAGAGCTTCAGAACTGCTATAGAAGAATATGCAGCCGATGACCCGAGTGGTTCAGAGCATCTACAGAGTGCGAAAATATTTTATACCTGAAAACTGGAGTGGTACTTGCGATCCCCCTGGCACAGAAGTCACTAGAAACAAGTTGGTCCAAGAGTAAACCTTTCACCGTGTTTATGAAAGTGTGGTCAGGGTTTTATTCTCCTGAGGGATGAAATGTTTCCTCCATCTTGCAGTACCGGCAGTTTCATGTAATTTATATGACACCACTTAGTGGAAGCAGACAATAAATTTTGAGACTGAGAATTCACGAGATGGGGATATTTGGAAGTACTTGGAGCAGAAAATGAAAGTTGGAAAGGGGATGTTGAGTCTTCTGAAGATGATTTGCAATGTATTTTTATTTTCCTTTCATTCTCATGAATAAGAATTTGTTACTGAAAGCTTACTAATAGCTATGTGAAACTGAAGAAAACATACTTCTCAAAACTTACACGGCATGGTTTTAGGAGGAGCTGAAGGTGAAATATACTGCTGAATGTGAAATAAACCACAGAACAAAAAGCAATCATCAGATGAGAAAAGAGGCGCAGAGAATTCCTTGTCTTTACATTCAATATAACTGACACAAATAAAAGGTTTGGTGTTAGGAATTCTATTTCTAAATTCGATTTGCTATCTAATATATTTCCTGTATGTGAATCAAATCTATATACAATGTAACGAACACTCATTCCAATTGAAAGACAGAACATTGCATATCAATGTTTAAAGTGAATAATGTGTATGGTGTGACCAAATGGGTTTAAATTGTAAATTAACATGAGGGTAACCTGAGAGCAGAAATATCTGAAAAGAGATTTGAAAGACAGATCTTCAGTAAAACTTTTTCATAAGTCTTGCAATTTTTTTTTCAGTGTTCAGTGTCTGTTCAGTATTCAGTTCAGGACAGAAACTATTTATTTGTATTTTGTTTGTTTTGTTTTGTGTTATGTACTTTTTTTCTGCAACTGACATTTACAATGAGAAAACTCAATTCTTTTTCTTTTTTTTTTTTTTGTTTTAAAGTTTCAGGTATACAATACAGTGATTCAATACTTCCTGACATCATCACAAGTGCCCTCCGTAATCCCCATCACCTATTTAACGCCCCCCCCCAACTCCCCTCTGATAACCATTATTTTGTTCTCTATAGTTAAAAGTCTGTTTCTTGGTTTACCTTTCTCTCTCTCTCTCTTTTTTCCTTTGCTCATTTATTTTGTTTCTTAAATTCCACATATGAGTGAAATCATCCCAACCAAAGAGGTGAAAGACCCGTACTCTGAAAACTGTAAAACACTGATGAAAGAAATTGAAGATGACACAAAGAAATGGGAAGAGGAAACAATTCTTGACAATAAAGAGTGATTTTCTATTACTAGGAGGATTCTTTGCATAGGTCAAGATGGTAGTTATAGCACACTTTTCTTCTCAATACTGATACAACTTTTCTCAGCCACCTGAAGATTATTCCTTGTGATTATCTTCTAAGTTTCCTGTTATCAATACTTTTTCCCTCATGGATTATCCCATTTTTATTTATTGGTAGCTTACATGTTATGTCTTCTACTAGACTATATCTTACTACCATCTACTAAAGAAAAGAGATGGCTTTTGAGTTCCTCCAAATTCTCATGTTTAAATTGCTTATTCTCAATGTTTCAAAATTCCAATACTGATTATAATGTATAATATGGATTTTACTTGCATCCAGTCACATATTTAGAAGTAAGACAAAATCGAAAGTTCTGACCTGTGGAATATGATGGGACTAAAAATCAAAGGATTGGTTGAAAGACTTTATAAGAAAAAAATAAAAATATATATAAAATCACTAGAATCTCTTCCCCGCTCCATGTACACACACAGTAAACACTAAGTCATGCAACCATAGCTATTTAAACCCTACTGAAAAATTGCTGGATTATTTTGTGAAAGCCATGAAACTCAAAACTCACAACAAAGGACCAGGTAGAAATGAAATAATAAAAAGAGATATCTAGGATGTAAAGTTAAAGTCAACACATTGAATAATGAGCCTCTCTACTCCCAAAGCCTCCTTTAGCTCCAAAAACCCTGGCAGAAAGTTCGAGTATTCTCTCTATGGAAAATCACCAATCTGAGATAAAAGACCTACTGATGATTGATATTTGGGATCCTCCAATGAACTGGTCAAGCCTACAACCTCTCTAAGGATTGAAAAAAGACCCATAAGAAAACACATTATTTTAAAATTGCAACAAATTTGGGCTGAAGAGTAAAGCTTAAAGGCTCTTAAATTAAAATATAGGCATCACAAATAATTGTAGAATAGATCATTTGGTACTAATTAATAATATCACTGGAAGCATGAGGCCATTGAAACCTTTCATATTCTGATGGAAAATTATTTTTTACCATCTAACTGCATTCCTAGAGGTTGTGTGTATTTACCACAATTCTAGTTTCCAACCTTCTAAATCAAAACAAAACAAAACAAAAATATGATAGAATGTTCATAGCTTATTTACACTGGAAATCTCTTAGCTTATTTCATTGGCGGTATTTAATTCTTGTTCACCTCCATATGAATGCATCTCAGACAGAGACCCAGTACCAAATCATGGTGTTATACAGGCTCTTAAACATATAAGTCATGAAAGTGAATAAAAATGCAAATTAATTCCTTATCTATAGACGAGAACTACGCAAAGAAAATAAGAGAACCTTAAAACAAGCCAATATAAAATAACAAAAATGTTATTTGAGTTGAATAAAATTTTGAAGGGGATATAAAGTGGTAAGCCACAAATTATTTGAGGAGGTAATGGACTGAAAAATAAGAGGCCATGAACTGAAGCTAAAGCTAAGAAAAGAGGGCGCCTGGGTGGCTCAGTTGGTTAAGCGACTGCCTTCGGCTCAGGTCATGATCCTGGAGTCCCGGGATCGAGTCCTGCATCGGGCTCCCTGCTGAGCAGGGAGTCTGCTTCTCCCTCTGACCCTCCCCCTTCTCATGTGCTCTCTTTCTCCTCTCATCCTCTCTCTCAAATAAATAAATAAAATCTTTAATAAATAAATAAATAAATAAATAAATAAATAAATAAATAAATAAATAAAGCTAAGAAAAGAGTACACCAAAGGAGTTCATGAAAAATGTCCTCAGGCACAGGGTGATAAGTGTACAGAACAACTAGCAATTAGAGGCAAAGAACATCATTATAAAATCTGACCACTGCTCCTCACATGGATGGATATAACTTGGCAGCAGACTCTTTAATTCTCAAATTCTCCTGTGCAAGCAGAAAGGCATAAAGAAGAGATATTTAAATTAATACACACACACACACACAATACACTCTTGAAGTAAGTGAGTACCTCTTAAAATAAGAGGACCTGTGAGTGTATGGTTCTATATGTAGGGAGTAGTAATTCTGGAATATTAAACTATGGTGATCAATAATCATTTGGGATAACAACACTAACACTGAACATGGGTATTTAAAGTAGATATTGAACAGCCATAGAGAATGGCATGAAGAATGTTGCAAGACCCTGGCATCCAGGGCAACCCCACTATTTCCCTATGAGATCTACACCTTCAACATTAATTTTTAATCATTTAAATTAAGATGATTTGAACTTAGTAAAATAATTATTTCAAACATTATTTTCAAGCAATATATTAGCTTTGAACAAAACTACAATTTTCAGGAAAAAACAGAGTCATGAGAAAACCAAACATGAGAGAAACAAATTTTAAAGAGGGTGTTTGGAATTTAAAGCATTAACTATGTGTCAGGCATAAGCCTTCTGTAGGGGTTCTTGGGAAGCCATGGAGAGTACAATGACTATGTGAAACATGATTGAGAGGCATACGGGAGCATCAGGATTTTGGATGATTGCCATTACATGATTCTGCCCGAGATTGTCTCTGAAAGGAACTTTCTAAACTTATAAAGTTCTAAGGTTCTCACAAAGAAGAACTACAATATCTTTGTAAGAGTGACTCTCTTTTCCCCTGATACATATGATTTCAAGAATAAGGTGATAATAAAAATGTGTGTTGACTCATTGGAGGATACTGCTGCCACTAGGTCCTAGGATGTTGTGAATGCTGGAGAAGCATGGGAAACATGGAAAGAGGCATGCGCACCACTGAAGCATGGCACTGTAACATGTCAGATTCATAGACAACTGCAGTCACACATGCATGAAGAGGCTCAACTGGCCAGATGCAGGTGTTGGGTAAGTGTAACTCCTAAGCTTTGCTGCATTTATCAGGTCTGATTAAAAGATAGTTTTCCAGAGCTATGAGAAAAAATGTTAAGAGAATAATGAAAATCCACTGTGAGACAATTGTGCGGAAACCCCATGTAACATACTGGAGATAACATGGTTGAAATGGAGGGAGACGATGCCCAGGGTAATACCCTAAGCCAATTTCTTTCAATTTCAATATCATACTTTAATGAAGACAGTACTACTTTAATGCTAAGTAACAGCTCCAGGCTAGACACAACAGACAGACGGGAGAGATTTCCAAACTACAGGAAATAAACTCTATTGGATGCAGCCCTTCATAAAAAATTTCTCCAAAGATCATTTTCACTTAATGTGTAGTCATGTTCTTAATGTGAGTTAATACGTATTTACTATGATTCGTGTTTCTCAGCTGAGCCCTGGGGACACCATGCCTCACTGGTAATCACACAGAGTAATGGCAATAGTGTCCATAAGCAGGCGGATTCAGTTTTAAACAGTGGTGATTGCTGTCCTAAAGGACAACCAGTGAACATTAAATTATTGTTGCTTTTGTTTATTTTCACTTTTATTACTAATTCGTTGGAAGCTGTGTTCAGTTTACTTTGAGAATGAGGTGCAAGCTACAGTTTTGATGGCAAAGATTATAGAGATTAGAACTGGAAATGAGCATCTGAAGAAGTGAAGATAATTATTTATAAAAGAGAAAGTGAAGTGAAGCATGCCCACAGCCTTTGGAATGCTCACATGTGGATAAGCAGAGTGGACATTCTGTGATGCTTCAGAGGGCAGTGAGAGAAAAGTCAGGAAGAAGTTACAACAAACATACTTTATCTGAAAGTATTTTCTAACGATTGGTATTGACCAGGAGCGAGACATTACTGAAAGTATTTAAGGAGAGTCAAAGGAATTGTATACAGGTGTTAGGATTGGAGTCTATTTTTAAGAACGCTTTATATTGAAGAGGTTAAGAGCGAAGCTTTTGAAGCTATGGACCTTGGCCCAAATACCAAACTTACAACATATTAGCTGTCTCATCTTGAGCAATTTACTAAGCTCTCTAAGCTTCAGTTCAATGATTATTGCACCAATAACAATGTCCACTTGAGGAGCCCTGTGGATGGATAAATAAGGTAAGACACCCAGATAATTTAAAGAAGCGTTTGGCATGTAGGAAGTTTTGTTATTCTCTTTTAACATTAGTAAAGATTGCACAGTAATAAGTATACATAAATTGGGGAATTATTTGAATTTCAGTAACTATAAACCACATTATTATTTATGATTTATAAATACATAGTTATTATTAGTTAAGGATAATATCAAAGAATAAAACTTTAGATGATCTACTCTAAAATACTGGGAAAAGATTGGTCCCCCAAAAGAAAAATTGTAAAAACTAAAATAAGTGTTATATATTTCTAAGAATTCATTTTCCAATTTTTAAGTTTTTATTTAAATCCCAGTTACTTAACATACAGTGTAATATTAGTTTCAGGTGTACGATATAGTGATTCAACCTTTTCATACAACATCACAAGTGCACTCCCTGATCCCCATCACCTATTTCACCCACCCCCCACCCACCATCAGTTTGTTCTCCATAGGTGTCTGTTTCTTGGTTTGCCTTTCTCTCTTTTTTTCTATTTTTTCCCCTCTGTCCACTTGTTCTGTTTCTTAAATTCCACATATGAGTGAAATCATATGGTATTTCTTTCTCTGACTTATTTCACTTAGCATAATACTCTAGCTCCATCCATGTCGTTGCAAACGGCAAAATTTCATTCTTTTTTTGTGGCTGAGTAATATTACACTGTGTGTCTATATATATATAACACATCTTCTTTATCCATTCATCAGTCAATGGACACTTGGGCTATTTCCATAATTTGGCTATTGTAGATAATGCTGCTATAAACATAAGGGTGCAAGGGTCCCTTTGATTTCTTTGGGAACCTAGTAGTGTGATTGCTGGATCATAGGGTAGCTCTATTTTTAACTATTTTAGGAACCTCCATGCTATTTTCCAGAGTGGCTGCACCAGTTTGCTTTCTCATCAACAGTGCAAAAGTGTTCCCCTTTCTCCACATCCTTGCCAACACCTCTTGTTTCTTGTGGCATTGATTTTAGCCATTCTGACAGATGTGAGGTGATATCTCATTGTAGTTTTGATTTGCATTTCCCCAATGATGGCTGATGTGGATCATCTTTTCATATGTCTGTTGGCCATCTGTATGTCTTCTTTGGAAAAATATCTATTCATGTCTTCTGCCTGTTTTTAATTGGATTGCTTGTTTTTTGGGTGCTGAGTTTTATAAGTTCTTTATAGATTTTGGATACTAACCCTTTATCAGATATGTCATTTGCAAGTATCTTCTCCCAATCTGTAGGCTGCCTTCTAGTTTTATTGATTGTTTCCTTTGCTGTGCAGCTTTTCATTTTGATGTAGTGCCAATAGTTTATTTTTTATTTTGTTTCCCTTACTTCTTTTTAGATATGTTTCCTAACGTAAGGGAAACAAAATAAAAAATTAACTATTACTCAGCCATCAGAAAGGATGAATACCCAACTTTTACATCAACATGAATGGGACTGCAGGAGATTATGCTAAGTGAAATAAGTCAAGCAGAGAAAGTTAATTATCATATGGTTTCACTTATTTGTGGAACATAAGAAATAGCATGGAGAACATTAGGAGAAGGAAGGGAAAAATGAAGGGGGTGGAATTCGGAGGGAGAGATGAACCACAAGAGACTATGGACTCTGAGAAACAAACAGGGTTTTAGAAGGGGGGGGGATTGGTTAGCCCGGTGATGGGTATTAAGGAGGGCATATACTGCATGGAGCACTGGGTGTTATATAAAAACAATGGATCATCACATCAAAAACTAATGATGCATTGTATGGTGACTAACATAACATAATAAAATTAAAAAAAAAAGAAGTTACTATGGCTGATGTCAAAAAGTTACTGCCTATGTTCTGACATTCTATTGTTGAAGAAATATTCTTCCCTCCTTTGTTGAAGATAAGTTGACCATATAATTGTGGGTTTATTTTTGGGTTTTCTATTCTGTTCTATTGATCTATGTGTTTATTTTTGTGCAAGTACCATGCTGTGTTGATCACTACAGTTTTGTAATATAACTTGAAGTCCAGAATTGTGATGCGTCCAGCTTTGCTTTTCTTTCTCAAGGCTGCTTTGGCCATCAGAGTCTTTTGTGGTTCCACACAAATTTTAGTACTGTTTGTTCTAGGGCTATGAAAAATGCTATTGGTATTTTGATAGAGATTATATTAAATGTGTATATTGCTTTGTGTAGTATAGACATTTTAACAATCTTTGTTCTTCTAATCCATAAGCATGGAATGTCTTTCCATTTCTTTGTGTCATCTTCAATTTCTTTCATCAGTGTTTTACAGTTTTTAGAGTATGGATCTTTCACCTCTGTGGTTAGGTTTATTCCTAGGTATCTTATTGTTTTGGTGCAATTGTAAATGGGATTCATTCCTTAATTTCTCTTTCTGCTGTTTCATTATTGATGTATTTCTATATTTCTGTATTTCTCTGCAAGAGATTTCTGTATGTTGATTTTGTATACTACAACTGTACTGAATTCATTTATCAGTTCTAGCAGTCTTTTGGTGGAAAATTTTGGGTTTTTTTATGTATAGTATCATGTCATCTACAAAGAGTGAAAGTTCACTTCTTCCTTGCCAATTAGAATGCCTTTTATTTCTTTTTGTTGTCTGATTGCTATGACTAAGACTTCCAGTACTATGTTGAACAACAGTGATAAGAGTGGAAATCCTTATCTTTTTCCTGACAGTAAAGGAAAAGCTCTCAGGTTTTTCACCACTTAGAATGATATTAGCTGTGGGTTTTAATCATGAATCATTTTTTATTTTATTTATGTAGGTCCTTTCTCTTTTCTTTTTGATAAGTCTGACTAGAGTTTTATTAATTTTATTTTTTCAAAGAACTAACTCCTGGTTTCATTGATCAGTTCTATTGTTTTGTTTTGTTTCTATATCGTTTATTTCCACTCTAATCTTTATTAGTTCCTTCCTTCTGCTGGTTTTAGACTTCATTTGTTGTTCTTTTGCTAGCTCCTTTAGGTGTAAGTTTAGGTTGTGTATTTCAGATTTTTCTTGTTTCTTGAGGTAAGCCTGTATTGCTCTAAACTTCCCTCTTAGAACCACTTTTGCTGCATCCCGAAGGTTTTGGACCATTGTGTTTTCATTTTCAATTGTTTCCTTTTTTTTTTTTAATTTCTTCTTTGATTTCCTGATTGACCCATTCATTGTTTAGTAGCATGTTATTTAACCTACATGTATTTGTGATCTTTCCAGATTTTTTCTTGTGATTAACTTCTACTTTTATGGTGTTGTGGTCAGAAAAGGTGCATGGTATAACTTCAATCTTTTCGTATTTGTTGAAGCCTGATCTGTGACCTAATATGTGGTCCATTCTGGAGAATGTTCTGTTCGCCCTTGAAAAGAATGTGTATTCTGCTCTTTTAGGATGGAATGTTCTGAATATATCTGTTGAGTCTATCTGGCCGAGTGTTTCATTCAAAGCCATTGTTTCCTTGTTTATTTTCTGTTTAGATGATCTGTCTGTTGATGTAAGTGGAATGTTAAAAGTCCCCTACTATTATTGTACTATTATTGACTAGTTCCTTTATGTTTATTATTAATTGTTTTATATATTTAGGTGCTCCAATGTTGGGTGCATAAATATTTACAATTGTTGTATCTTCTTATTGGATTATCCCCTTTATTATTATATAGTGCCCTTCTTTGCCTCTTGTTAATGTCTTTGTTTTGAAATCTATTTTGTCCAATATAAGTACGGTTACTCCAGCTTTCTTTTGACATTCATTTGCATGATAAATGTTTCTCCAACCCCTCACTTTTAATCTGCAGTATTTTTTAGGTCTAAAATGGGTCTCTTGTAGGCAGCACATAGATGGGTCTTGTTTTTTTTATCCATTCCGACACCCTATGTCTTTTCATTGGAGCATTTAGTCCATTTACATTCAAAGTAATGATTGATAGATAGGCATTTATTGCCATTTTATTACTTGTTTTGTGGTGGTTTCTGGAGATTTTCTCTGATCCTTTCTTGTCTTTCTCTCTTTCGTGGTTTGCTGATTTTCTTTAGTGATATATTTGGTTCCATTCTCTTTATTCGTTGCAGGTTTATCACTGGTTTTTGATATATTGTTACCATTAGGTTTGTATATAACCTCTTCTACTAATAGCAGTCTACATTAAGTTGA